CACCAAGTATTATACATACTGTATAACTCAATCTAGAATACGCTAAACTAACCCACCAGTTGCTTCTTGTGGCGGTAGAGGTGGGGGGAGGGGGAGTGACTCTGGAGGAGCACAAGAAAACTTTCTGGGGTTATAGAATTCCTGTGTTTCAACGTGCATTTGTCAAACCGGTTGACCACTACACTTAAGATCTGAGCTTTTTATGGTACGTTAATTATTCATCAATAAAAAATAGAATTTAAAAACTATAACAAGGGCAAAAATAACAGGGTTTGTGAGATAAACAGGGTTCGGTGGAGAGCACGAAAATACTATAGGCAACACTGTAACCAGAGCACTAACAAACACAATTGTTCAATTATTAGTACCTAGGAAGATGACTTAGATCACCGAGACACACATGTTAAAATGGCTAAAGGCTACCTCACAGGATACTAGAAAGGCACAAAACCAAGAGTGAAAATGCTGGTGACACTTGAAATGGCACAGTGTGGGTGGGGTGCTAAGAAAATGCAGATGGAAGTGGAACTCTTCCACAGTGGAGGCTGTGGGGCTGGTAAAGCAAATACAGGAGGGAGCAGAATAGGCCACAGCCAGAGCCCTGCCAGGCAGGGGTGGCGCTTCTCTAGGGAGCAAGGCGCCGGTGCAGACACTTGTTTTTAATGTTCTTAAAATACAGCTTGAAGGGCTCCTGCTGCCTGTCAGCAGCCAAGCTCGGGGCTTTTTCTTTTCCTGTTCAAGGTTTTAGTTCCATTCCTTCCAACAAGATCCTATTCTGAGGAAAATCGTGAATGGAACCATCAATATAACATCCATAGTTTACTAACATGTCATTACTCATTCACCAATCATGAATGAGGTAATTCATGTGATAGAGACATGCTCTAGCAGAAGAGGCTGCACCGAGTATGACCAAGCACTAGCTACTGTTTTGCATTTTTTATGTTATTCACCAATGAACATTTTCTGGAAGAGGACATTGAGGTTCAGAGAGATACAGTGATCTGCCCAACTCTATCCAGTTTCTCTCCTGTGGACTCAGAATCAGAATATAGGTTTGTTTAACTTCAAATCCCACGCTCTTCCTTAATCATTATGCTATACTGCCTCCCAGATTATTTTATCCATACTTACATCTTTCATTTGGAAAAATGTAGGCCCCTATCCCATCAGAGCTGCTGAACAAGCTATAGCTGACTTTGGCTTTCTCCTTGGTTCTCACCCCAACACCCATCTTAAGCGTCTCAATCACCTGAATCCCCCCACCTTGTCTCATTTCCGTCGTGTGTATTGACTCTCAGGACATGTGACTCTCACCTTTCATCCATCCTCAAAGCTGAGGTAAGGACATGTCTCATACCTCATGCCCTCCATGCTAAGAATAGCAATCTAGAAGAGTTTCCAGTGACATCATCTAGGTGAAACCCTTCTCTAAAGTTCATATACAGACACTATGTTCAAATAAGGAGTTATGATATACAGAAGCTTCTCAGGCTCTCTCCCCAGTGAAATATTTATGGTTTCTAAAGGTAATTCCCTCATTGTCTATTAAAGGAATAACTCAATGATGATTTCATATCAGACGGGGTGGGGGAAGGATGAAGAGTAAAGGGGTTATAGTTTAGATTAGATCAATTAGTCTACGTTTTGTGTACATTAGATTCACCCTAATATTTTGAACACATACCCTAGATCTAAGAAGGTTTTTTATTTCCTTTTTACAGCAAACATCCATTTACACTTCCAGTATCCCCTTTGTTAACAAGATACTTATTAACTATGTATGAAGGTTAAGAAGCAAAAGAAAGAAATTTCAAGAAATTTAGTGGTTCTCATGGTACATTTCATGGAGGCAAGCATGTACGCTAATTACCTCACAAATGAGTCGAGTCCTGGTGGCAACTGATAACTTCAACAATATTATTTATTCAGCATTAAGTTCAGGATTTCTAATCAAATGTCGTAAACAACTTCCTAGTTCCAGCTTGTGAACACTGTGATTGACCTGAACATTTGAACAAAACCACTACATCCCCACACAATTTGCTCATGAACCTTTCTTAGATGTTGGCAGACATTGCCTTACATACTTAATGAATTTATTAAGCTAACCAGAAAGTTTTAGAAGAACTAAATGGATTTAAATATTTCTATTTTCTGATGCAGAATTCAAATGTCTGACTCAGAATTCAAATAGCATGTGGTGACAGTGGTCATGGTGAAATGTGCAAGGATGTTTGTGTGATAACTGTCCTACCTCAGTGACATTTGTTCACAGGCTAAATGGAAAATCTGCTGTATAGAACATTTTGAAAATGTGTGCTGCTGAATTTTCCTCTTCCTTCAATGATTGATTTTTAAGGGAATAATTAGAAAGATATTCATAAGCAAAGGGCCTTAAGATAATCTGGGAAGACAATAGCAAGTTCATAATATTAAGAATGTACATTTGGGGATAAGTTATAAAAGTTGACTCTTCAAAGAAGGTACTATAATGAAATCATGGGGAGTTGGGAGAGGAGATAAATTCTTAATTTTATAAAATTATGAGGATATAATATTGATTTAATCAAATGATAAATATAACTGACCAGAAGACTCGTCCTCTAGGCACAGTGTCTAAAGCAAACACATCATAAACCAAATTTTGTTATTATTCATGTCTCAACATGAATATTTCTAATCATAAAGGAACCTTCTCCAAGGCCCTCTGAACAATAATAAAATAACATATAGATTATGTAATTTAAAGCATACCTTACATTGTGCAACAGAGTGAAGGAAAGTAGACTGATACTTAGATTTATTAAAAGCTAGAAAGTTCTATAAGGCTTAAACATAATAATAAAATGTTGAATAACCACTCCGGTTTAGAACTAGCCAGTTCCTTTAAACAATTAAACAGCTTTCTCAGATAATAGCAAAAAGGCTACAGTAAATCCAAAACAAACACATGTCTGAAAATATCCAATCTCAAGCTTACTTTAAGCTTATATTTAATTTGTTTATTACCCAAACCAATACCTTTCTATGCAACATTTATACGACTAGAACAAGAAGCTGGCTGAACAAAAGCAGTTGTCTGATAAATGGTCAAATAAATAAGCTTTTTTTTTTTTTTAACAAACTATGTGTCTAGAATAAAATAAACTTATGAATAATCCGATATCTATAACTTAACAATTGTCTTCTCACCTAAATGCTTAGTAAACATTTATCCACTTTTAGGTAATACAAAAAAATAAAAATAAATTCGAATTTTTAAAGCAAACTATATATGTGAGAACACATTAACATTGAAAAAGAATTTTCACACATTTAATATTTTGATACACGTTAAATTCATAGGTATTTTGTCTAACCCTAAAATTACTACTTAAAAAAAAAGAGAGAGGCAGGGCCTTTTCTACCATATGATGGGTAAAAACTAGCTAATAAAATCAGGGTAGGATAGGTAAACAAAACACAGGTTCAAATATCCCATGCAGACAAGATTTCTTCCTTGTTTACTTATACAGATTTTGAGATGTTTTATTTAATTTTAAAAGAAATAACAATCACACACCAATTCAGCTTGTCATGAACAACCAAAAGGACAGTTAATGGTTAAATTCATCTACCTAGCCACTAGGCAAATCTCTCTGAAAGCCCACAGTACTGCCTTCTGGAACCATGTCATTGTCATAAATGCAGTCATAATACAGTAGCTGCAATCTATAAAAATGGCTGGAGTCCTTTTGCCCCACCTCAGAGTAGGCTCAATTGGGACATAACAAATATTTGCTACTCACTTTTCAGTTTCTTTGTCTTCTGCTCCAGTGTCTGGCAAGTGTTCACTAGCTCAGTATTTATAGTCTGGAGACTCAGTTGTTCCGAAATTGTTTCCTCTAATTTATGCAGCAAAGACTTAGCTTTTTCACTGGCAGGGTGGGCTGTGCCATCGCGATCCTCAACCTAAAGACATTACAGTGAAGGCTGGAGTTTAGTATTGTGGCCGGGAAAGAAAGCAATTGAGCGCTCACTTTTATGCACAGGAAACTGAAAATGTGCTCTGCTTCTCAGGGAAGTGATAAGCCTGTACTGAACTTCTGCAATTCTGTGTTTGCATGGGCTGTGTGTGCCTGAGCTATTTCTACAGCCGTAAGAGTCCTGATATGTCAAGTTGCCTCCTTCTGCAAAGTTGCCTCTTTCATCAGCAGGCTGTTGACACCGCCTCTTTTACAACTCCCCCTTTACTTCCTCCGCTTACTGCTAGTCTCTAGGGACTGAACTTCACAGTTCCTCTTTGTTTTTTTTTTCGTTCCTTCTCCATTTTTACTTCATGGTTTTAAGGACATCTGAGGAGACTTCCCCTGAATATAAGTAGTCAAATGCTGCCTCACCTGCTTCTCTGCAGCCTCCAGCCGTTGGCTGGCTGCTGGGACCTTCTTCCTGAGGATGACTTCCTGGTTGACAGCATCTTCTTTCAGTTGTTTAATGGCTTCTAGTTGTTTCTGCCTGGAGTTAAAAAAAAAAAAAAGTCCAAACCACAAGCTGTCAGTGACATTTCAGCTAAGAGCCACCCCCTGGGAAGTTGTGACAAATTCAAACTTCATACACTTCCTCAGAGATCAGAGGAAAAAGTGAAAGTGTTTACATACATCTAAATGCTTCACAAATATAGAATTTTAATGAAAGTAAACATATTGCCCACATAGCCTGATACCCTCACTTTACAGATAAACACATTTAGTTTCCTATTTTACACTGGAATATTCAGTTCCTCATAAGCTACATTCATGGTACTTTGCACGGGTTGCTGATTTTTTAGAGAATGGCGCTACAACGAAGTCACTGTAACAGGTGCAATATTTACACATCACAGCTAGCTTTTTCAGAAAAGGAAAGAAAGGAAAGTGAGAGAAGAAAATAAGAGAGAAAAGAAAAGAAATAAGAACTTCATTTCATGACCTTAGCCTTTCTTCTTAAGAGTTGTCAATCATGGTATAAACATGTGCCATGAGAACAGGAAGGGCTGCTCCCAAGCACAGATGAAAGCTGGCTGTTAGTATTTCCACTGCAGTCTTCTCTTTCCTGAAGACTTTCCCCTCCCTTTCTTCCTCACCCCAAATCTCTTAGTGTTGTTATGTTACCTCGCTTATGAATCTGACCTTAGTCCCTCAAATATATAAAAATGCATCCACTCTCTGTTAGCCAATGAAATTATTGAAACTATGCTATGTAACAAGGCAGCAATGACTATCTGGAAACAACTTGACCTGAAAAAAGACCTTAGCTCAAAGGGATGATAAACGTTAGGAGTTTCAAAGCAGTGAGGAAGACATTATCAAGTTTAGGCCTCTTGTGTGCCTCTCAAATGTTAATACATAGACTTCCATACACATTGTCATAAATCCAGCCCTGATTACAAAAAGGACCACATGAAAGA